AATTTTTTAGTTATATTAAATAAAATTTTTTGGTTAAGTGTAATAAGCATTTGGTTAATACAAATAAACGAATTGGAAGAAATTTTTTGGTTGAATCAAACAAACGTTTGGTTGACTGTATAACAATGCATTTATTTGGTTGATTCAACCAAAATTTGGTTGATTCGAACAAATTTTTTTCTGAGTGTACGAATCTAATGTTAAAACTTTATTTTTCAAATTATTAGATCCACTATGACGGATTCAAAATTATGGTTTTCTACATTTTTAAGTAAATAGTCTAAATATTAATTTATAGATTAATATTTACAAAAAATAATTATTGGGATGTTTTAGAAACTCTTTTATAGAAATTTAACTTTTTATACCTCTGCTCTTAAAAATCGATTATTAAAGGAATATTTAAAAAAAATTTGAATCCGCCATGCTATATTAGATTCGGTAATTTAAAAAATAAATTTTTAACATTAGATTCGTAAATAGCGCTTCCAAATATCGCCCTTGACGTTGTTTTAGAATATTTACTTCGAAAATGTAGAAAATTAAAATTTTGAACCTGCCATATTGGATCCAAAATTTTGAAAATTAATTGTTACGGACACCCTATTGTGCACGTTTGTACGCTCGCTTCATATTCCGCCTCGCTACGGAGTTCAATTCCGCGGTACGCGCTCCCACTAAAGTCGCAATATCTCGAGAACTATTAGAGTCTCCATAAATTTTTTTTTATGAAATGAAAGGTGAAATTACAAGGAATCGATATTTACTTATTAGAAAATTCAAAAATTAGGCCAACTGAACTAAAAATTAATTCAAAAAATTTTTTTGACTTTTTTTTTGACAAATTTTGAAAAATTTTTTTTGTTCATAATATCAAATTAAACTACGTATTTTTAACTATATCACCTGTAAATTTTATTAAAATCGATCAAAAAGTTTCAGAGTTATTAATTTTTGAAAAAAACGCAACACTCATTTTCAGTATGGCGTAGCGGCCGCCATTTTGAAAATTTTTCAAAATCCTGTTAGGGTTAAATTTAATTCATATAAGACTTCTATTTCCCAAGGTTTCGAAGAAATCGAAAGACCACTTGCAAATCGCTTTTTTTCTGACGGAGTCTTACTCAATTTTTTTATTTATTTAGATTCATATTACTGTTTAAGAAAATTTTATTCTTTCTATTAAGACGAATGCACTTTATTTTATAAATGTTAAATTGTATTAAAAGTTATTTAAAAATTAAATATACTTATTGTTAATGCTTCCTCCACGAGGAAGCAAATTTTTTTTGCTGATCGTAAAGAAGAAGCAAAATGTTCATGTGATGAACATCTGGATTTACAACTTGTTTAGGGATATCACTAAGAATAAATCAGAGAATTAAATAAGAGTAAAGTTTCACAGTATCAATAATAAAGGCGCTTGAATACCACCACATTTATAAGTATATAAGAAACGTCCAACGTTATGATTGACTATGATTATAAAGAATTTCCAAAGAAACAAATCAAAACGATGAAGGTTTCTACATATACTCAGAAACATGGAAGTATACAAGCGCCTTTACACTCGTAACAATAGAAATTAAAGTAAAAAACAATTTTTTAAAAATGAATTAATATAATAAAACTTTTTTTAATTAGTTAAGGAAATTCAACATTTTTAAAAGTCGAATAAAATTCCAGGCTATTTCTCATACTAATAAATACATAATTTTTTTTTGTCATTTTTGAAATTCTTAATATACACAAATAGAAAAAAAAGCATGAATTTGTTTTACACTAAGTGTATGACGCAGGATTAAGAAACTGATTAATTAAATTAATTAAAAATGATTGAAATCAATGATTTGATTCAACTTATTTTATTTTAATTTCGCGCTATGTTTATAAAATCTTTATATTTTATTTATTTATTTGTTCCATGTATACCTAAAAGGTTTTTACATTTGTTCCCGCAGATGATTAAAATTATATTACATAAATTAAATTAAAATCACAAAAAAGAGGTTCGCAGAAAGTTATTATAATTAATATTTTTTTGTAATTATCATTTTCAATTTTTTTTTTCGTTTTTATTGTTTGTGACAATTTTTTTTTTAAATTCATTCTTTTTACAATATTTATTGTAATTTAGAAAAAAAAATTTTCACAAGAAATGAAAAAGGAAAAAAAAATTAAAATGTCATCAAGGCGAACTTTACGTTCGAGCGGGTCACCACCTCCATTGGTGAACCCAATTTTAAATAAAGTTCGCCAAAGATCCAAATATCCTTTGGATAAACCTGACGTCGGCAAGTTGTATTTTGAGTTTGATCGGCTTTATTTTGATTCAACTTTGAAAGTACTCGGATTCACGATCGCTTATTCTAATTTGCGCGCGAGTTGTGGGATGACGGACATTTCCAAACGGAGAATTACCATTAGCCTTCAACTTCATTTGAATGTTCATGGCCAATGGAATGTAAATTCCATTAAAGAAACATTACTCCATGAGATGCTCCATGTACAAGTGTATAAGCATTATGTAACGAATGTTGATAATTACATTGTACATGGAAAAATCTACATGGAGTATTTGGAAACTTTAAATGCGAAATTGGAGGGTACGGGTTTAAAGGTGAAAGTTGTAACCGTCATCCCCTACAAGCGATTTCAACATGTTCATCGTTTTAAATGGCGATGTACAAATTGTAATTATAAAGTGGGTTTAACCCATTCTCAGTTTCCAGACCGCATTAGAGGACGTCACGACAATTGTGACAATTACAATTGGGTGCGTCTCTAAGCACCTTGGGGGAAAAAAAAGTCCTATTATATAATATATTTTATATTATTATTTCATTAATAGGATATTAATTCATTATATTATTACAAAAAAAAAATTTAAAAAAATGTAAAAAAAAATTTAAAAAATTAAAAAGATAAAAAATAAAAAAAAGAAAAAGAAAAACCCCACTAATAATTGTCCACTATTAAATGTAATAACAATTTTTATTTTCGTATTTATTAAAAATTTTGTTTTCAATAAATACGAAAATAGAAATTCTTATTATATTTAATAGACCTTGTCGTGGTAGTGGGGCTTTCAACTAAAGGACAATTTATTTCATTTTCTTTTTTCTTTTTTAATTTTTTTTTTATTATTATTTTTTTTCTTGTAATTTTATATTTTTATTAATATCTAATTTTATTTTAATTTTTTATTACAAATCTCAGGAATCTTGATATTCATAATTGTAGTAATTTTTTGTTATAGATTGAGACTCATATTTGCAATACAAGTTAGTAATTGAATTATTCGATATTATAATTAATCTTCTCTTTTAGTAAGATAATATTTACGTAATTATTTAGATATTTAAATTAAATATTATAACAAGTTTCACTTAGAGAAAATAGATTTTTTTCGTCAATATTCTTGATAAGTTTTTTTGGGAATTAGCAATTTTGTTTCCTGCTTTCTTCATTAATAAAACGACCTGGCTGAAGATTCTCACTTTCTCATTTGACTTTTAATTTTTGTGATTGCAATTTCTATTTGGAAAAAACAGAAAAATTATTTAATTGTTATTGCTTTTCAGTGTTTTTGTTTTAATAAATTTTTATAAATTGTTGTTTCTTATTAATATACGTAAAATTTTAATACCAAAAAATTTTTTTCGTTCATTATTTATCTTTAAAAAAACTATATTTTTTTAATAATTGTAAATTTTATCATTTAAAAAAAAATTAAAAAAAATAAATAAAATAAATTCAAATATATTAAAAAAATAAGTATAAAATTTTCATTTTAATAAAAAAAAAAAATTGAATACAATTTTTTGAAAATAAATTTTGTAAATTTAAGGTAAGGTAAGGTAAAATTATTTCGAAAGAAAAATTATTAATTGTCAATAAAAAAATTAAACAATTAATATTATGCTTTTGAAGTAAAAACCCAAAATTTTATTTACAATTATGCTGACAATTTTGGAAAAATTATTTCCTTACAATGAAATTTTAACGACGTATAAAATTTTCTCTTTCGATGAAACTTAAATCAAATTTAAATTTCACTAATGAAAATTAATTTTCTTATATATCTGAATAGTGTAAATTTGTTGTATTATCGTTTGGAATTATGTCGTTACTTGTTCCACTTCTTCAGCGGCCACTGAATTTTGCACGCTCAACAATAAATCGCCTTTAAAAACATTTTCGAAAGAATATAAATAAATTTAATTAATTAACTTAAAATTAGTAAATAAAATGCAATGTTTATGAATATTTAATTTTTCATTTTTTAATATTAAGTTTTAAACAAATGGAAATAATTATAAGAATGTCCTTCATATTGTATTTACTAGATTTCTTTTAGTTATTGTTTAAGCCTTCACTGAGGTGCTGTATGCTATAACTGGATAGGCGCCATTTGCATTACATTGGGCGTATTCTCTTATAGCATCCAACCTTGTTTATATGCATTTTCAAGTCGGAAACCTTTGCTATTTATGTTGTTATAGTGTCGTGTCAGGACACAAAACAAAATGCTCTGCTATTTTCGTTTCCGGGCAGGACACATAACTAAATTTCTTTAGTTTTTCGTTATGTGGCTCAGTTACGGAACCAAGAAGACAATTTTTTTTACTATCATTTTTAACGGAATTTTTTATGTTGAAAACGTAATTTTGGCATGTTGATGGTACATAATTGATAAGTCAGTTTTTGCGTCATCTTTCGATTAAGAGTTGAATGAAAAAATTCTGTGGACAATTTTTCGAGATAATTAATTTTTAAAAAATTTTTTATAAAATTTTTTTTACTGTCATTTTTGATGGTATTTTTCATGTTGAAAATGTAATTTTGGCATGTTGATGATAGGCAATTCATAAGTCAGTTCTTGCGTCTTCTTTCGATTAAAAGTTGAATGAATATTTGAATATTTTTTACAATTTGATTGCAATATAATTAATTTTGGAAAATAATTTAATTAATTTTAAATATTTTATATGTTACAGGAATGAATAGCTGAGAAGGTTCAATTCGAGAGATTTAATGTAATATTCGTGATTTTAATTGCTGATTCATGATGGAGTTGTGTGAAACATTTGAGTAACATTAATATTATTCAGCACATGATTTGTGTGTACAAGTATTATTATTTCTCCTCGTGACAAAGATAAGCATTTTATCAATTATTTGGAGAAAGATATTTTAGAAGGACAGAAGATGTTGAATCATTTTATTGAGGAGAAAAACAAAATATTCAATACAAATTTTGAAATCAAGTTTGAATCGCAATAAAACGGATCATCAAAATGAAAAGGTAACTAAATTTATTGTATTCTACTTGTTGTGTTAAGTGTAAAATATTTTTGGTTTTTGTGCACTTTGGTTTGTGTTATTCGGAATGTTGATTTCACAGTGAAGAATAATTTTTTTATCAATGAAAAACTTTATTATAATTTTTCTTCATTATTGTAAAAAATGATAGTACAAGTAGAAATATTTTTTTTTCAATCTTCTAGAGTTTTTTCATATTCTTTTTTAGAGTCCTGATTGAGAAATTTTCTTTGATATTAGTCGGAGATATTAAAGTTGATTGAATCGTTGTAAAGTACAAAAAAAAAATAATTTGTTTTTATTTTACAGATTCGAGCAAAGATTCGTTATTGTTTTTATTTACTTGAGGAAGTAATATTTTGCCGATAAAATTCCATGGAAAGTTGCTTACCACAATGAGGTGACTAATGGTTCTTTTTTCATTTATGTGTCAATGAATATGTTTATGCATTTCTGGGATAGCGTTACTTATTTGACGCACGCTGATTACACATTTTTTGATAATTTGCAGTCACTGCTTGATAGATGGAAAGCACCAATATTTATATATCTTTATGCTTGATGTTTTTTGTATAGATATTGAGGCAATTATTGATTTTTTAAAGTATGCTCGCATTTGCTGTAGTTATTTGGTCATCTTTCACATGTACTTCAGGAGGATACATTTTTTAAAAGCGTGATTTGTTTGAGAAGAGTGAAATTTATCATTGACGTCATCGTGTGTGTAAAGTGTATAAAACTGAGTAAAAATTACTTGCTGATTGTGATTGGCTTTGCATTTGATTAATTTTGTCAAAAATTCTTCTTTATAGTTTTCAGTTGAAAGAAAATAAAAAGTATATCCATTTATAGATTTATTATTATTTATTTATTATTCTAAAAGTTTAGTTTCTCAACTTTAAAACACAATTGTAAGACAATCTTCGTATCCAGTGAATGGACTGAGTTACTTAAGTTTTACAAGAGTACTGCAAATGTCTTTTTTTACCACCTGGTAGGAGGAAAAAGCCACCTCGAGATATTAGCAAAATATGTTATTAAATTTCTTATTTTTATAGTTTTCCTTTATTTATATGTCACTGAGCAGGGTTCCTACAGAATTTGGAAATCATGGAAATGGTATTGAATTTTTAAAAGGCTTTTGGAGATCAGGGAAATCATGAAAAAGGCCTGGAATTTTTAAAAGTTTCTAAATTTTTTCTGTTTTCCATTTTTTATCTTGAATAGAAATTCAAATAATAATAATAAAGCTAAATGGCATAAAAGAGAAGAAAAAATGTTGAATTTTAAGAAATTCGGTTTTCTTAATTTTTGATAATTTTAGATAATTTTAGATTTTTTATCAATGCTTGGAGACTATTAAATAAGTAAAGTATTTTTAAAGAGCCCAAAAATATTGAAATTAGATTTTGAATTTCACTAGAATTTTTTAAAAATTTGACCTGGAAATCGTGGAAAAGGTATGGAATTTTAAATTCGTATTTCTGTAGGAATCCTGAATTTTAAAAAATTTATAACAAACAAAATTAAAAATTATGTTAAATTTTCCTGTTTTCGATTTGCACTGCCAATTTTTCGTACATTTTCTAAAAGTCCTCCTTAAGTTACACCATAGATATTATATTTCGTTGCAACCGTTTTTTTTTTGCTAATTTTTCCAGAGCAATTTCAACTATTGTTTCATTGTATTTAATTAATTTTATTAAGTAAACACGAGAAATTTTGTAAAATTAAAAAAGTTTAATATAAGTAAAAAAAATAAAATTCACACTTTCAATTAATTCACTAATTAATTTATCAGTCTCAACTTTTTCTCTAAATGTTCATTGTTTCAAAATTTTTAATATTTATACACTGTTTTATAGTTTGTTTTAATTTAGTATAATTATTTATGAAATTTTTAAAAATTTTAATACTGTTAATTTCACAAACCATGAATTAATTATTTTCACCATTCTTCTTAAAGTTCACAAATTTATGTAAAAGTTCGAATAAAATGTTACAAAATTTGAAAAGGAAGGTGGAAATATTCGAAATAAAATAAGTGAATTTCCGTTAAAACGGAGGGAGAAACCTCGCGAATTAGAAGGATCAATTAATAATTAATAATATTAATTAATCATTAATCCAACCAACTTCGCGAGTAAACCCAATACATTTATTAAACTCAAAACAAGTCGATGTTACTCTTAGAACAATTTTTGGGATTACTCTGAAGTACATTATGAAAAAAGTTCAAAGTAGTCCAAAAGTCGAAAGTCGAAAGTTCAAACTAAACGTTTTCGAAATCTATGTACACGATATTTACATTATTAATCTTAATTTGATTAATTTCGTCGTCATATAATAAACAAACAAACATTATTTGTCGTCAGAATTGTTTACTTTCATTTCGCATACTTTTAATTTGTTATTTATATCGAAATAACATTTTCAAATCAATTTTCTAATTACTTGACGTTTTAGAAAACAATATAAACGATAATTAAATTTTTATTTCCAATATGATTATAATAATCGTCATATAATAAACAATCATACTTCTCCTTCGCAATGGGTGAAATATAATTTAAAGAAACTCTCTTTTTCTCCATATATTTTCATTTCGCATATTATATATTGTTATTTATATCGAAATAACATTGTCAAATCAATTCTTAAATTACTAAACGTATTCGAAATCTATTTACACGATATTTACATTTTTAATCTTAATGTGATTAATTTCGTCGCCATATAATAAACAAACAAACATCATTCGTCGTCAGAATTGTTTACTTTCATTTCGCATACATTTAATTTGTTATTTATATCGAAATAACATTTTCAAATCAATTTTCTAATTACTTGACGTTTTAGAAAACAATATAAACGATAATTAAATTCTTATTTCCAATATGATTATAATGATCGTTATATAATAAACAATCATACTTCTCCTTCGCAATGGGTGAAATATAATTTAAAGAACCTCTCTTTTTCTCCATATATTTTCATTTCGCATATTATATATTGTTATTTATATCGAAATAACATTCTCAATTCAATTCTTAAATTACTAAACGTATTCGAAATCTATTTACACGATATTTACATTATTAATCTTAATTTGATTAATTTCGTCGTCAAGTACACTTTTATTACGTTATTTATATCGAAATAACATCCACAAATGAATTTTTAAATTACTAAACGTTTTCATTTTTCAAATTGTCATTATAACTTAATATTGAGAGGAAAATTACTGCTTCAAGTAATTAATATCTTTTAAAACCTGTGACTGAAAGTTAATAGAAAGAAATGTAAAAATTTCAATTAAATTTTTTGAAGAAATAATTTCATTGTCGGAAAATTTTTTTATAAACTTTATCATTTCTGTTGTGTGAGTATTCATTATTGTTAAATTACTATCAATAATTTCATTTAAAACATTTGTCAAATTAATAATTGATTTAAATTCTAAATTTAAAATATTGAATAAATCATTAATTTCAAAAAATTCCAATGATTCCTTTGTAACGACAATTAAATTATTTCCCTCTGTATTATTATTTAACACAAATTCTTTGAATAAATTTAATGATTTTTCATTCAATTTAATCAAATTATTTTCAAAATTATTTAAAACATTCTCATTTTGTACAACAGATAAAATAATTTCTTCATCCAATCTTGGTATTTTTGAAGAATACATTTTTTCTTTAAAATTTAAATTATTGAAAATTTTACTTTGAGTAAATAAAGTGGGTGAAATGTAATTTTCATTTAATTTGTAATAATCAATGATGGATTGTTTCAAATTACTTTCTTCTAAAGAATTCAAAAAATTATTCATTTTTAATTTACTTATAGTTAATGATGTTAAGTTTTTAATTTCCTCTTCAAGAAATAATTCATAATTTGTAGAAAAAGAATTTTCAACTGACAATGATGATGATGATTGTGTTGAACATGTTGATTGCGATGATGTTTCTAATTGTGAATTTGACATTTGAAAATTTATTTTCTTATTAATATTATTTTTGTTATTGATATTTAAAAAAGTTATTGTTTCAAATTTTGAAAAATCTAAATACTCTTTTCTTTTAATATGTTTAATTTTTAATAATTTCAAAAAATCAATTGTAGGTTCGTCATCACTGTCATCATCGTCTTCAATTTTTTGCATATTTTTAATAACTTTCAATTCTTCAATACTAGGTAATGAATTTATTTTATCAACATTTATAATATTTTTATTTAATTGATTTAAAATATCATCGTTTAATGATGCTAGAACACAATACGTTTGCAAACAATCCATTTCTTCATCGTGAATAAATGTTTTTTTAATGAAATTTGAACTTGAAGTTGGAGAACTATCAAACAATTGTTTTGAAATAAATTTTAAATTTACTTTACTTAAATTTAATATTTCTTCATTTACTAATTTTAAATTACTTTTATTTTTTTCAACAATTTTCAAAACATCTAATGAAAATAAATTTGATTTTAAGTTGATGTTGTATTCATTAAAATTACGTTTCAATATAGGTAAATCAAATTCATTACTATTGAAACCAATAATAAGTGTTGAAGATTGATCATTATTTAAATAATTATTTAATAAAGAACAAGTTTCTTTTGAAAATTTATTATAAGAATTTAGTGACGTGTTTGAAATTCCATTAATTTTACTAGCCTTAGCTGTTATTTGTACGTCTGATTTAAATACTAACTTGATTTTATTTATGTCTAACATTTCTGTGATATCGTTAATTTTAATTTTTTCATAATTATTTATTTTCAAATTTGTTTTTAAATATTGCCTTAAATTAATGAAATTTCTTTTTGTCACAGTATATAAACAAAGTTCTACTATTTCTTTGTACTTTAAATCAGTTGTTTCAAAATCAATAAAAGTGAATTTTTCAAAATCGTTTAAAAAAATTTTATTTTCATTGTCGTCTACTTTAATTTTTGAAAAGAAAGATTTATTTTCAATAACATGAGAAGTTGTTGAATTTTTTTTTATTAACGACGATGATGACGATGATGATGATGACGCTAATAATGGTAATGTTGACAATTCAAAAGATGAACTAAAGGTTTGATTAATGTTCATTGGTTCAATAACTTGAAAAAAAGAATAATTTTCTTTCGACAAATTCTCAAGAAAATAATAATTTGGCCAATATTGGATATTTTTTATTATAAATTCTTTTAAAATTTCTTTCAATTCTTTTGAAAATTTTTGAGAGACACCATGTAAACCAATAAGTACACCAAAAGTTGACTTAAATAATTGCGATTGTTTCGTTAGAGGATTATCTAATATTTCTATTAATGTATCTGGAGTTATAAAACCATGAGTAATTACATCATGTTTCTTTAAAAATTGAGTCATTTCTTTATTAATTTGTTTTTCTAAAAAACTTTTACTTCCCAATTCTTCTACATTTAATTTTTTTAAAATTAAAAATTTTGGAAATTTATCAATGGAATTTTTTCATTCAAGTTGCATTAGAAAGATAATGTTTCGCTTGAAAAATGGTTATTGGGTCATTGACACGTTAAAATTAAATTTTCAACATGAAAAAAATACTTGAAAAAAAAAGAAAAGAAAAAATTTTTGAAAAAAAAAATTTTTTAATTTCTCTTTTCTTTTTTTTTAATTATAAAAATTTATAATTTTAACGCTTGTCAATGAAATTAAAAAAAAAAAAGGAAAGAGAAATTAAAAAATTTTTTCTTTTTTTTTTTTCAAGTATTTTTTTCATGTTGAAAATTTAATTTTAACGTGTCAATGACCCAATAACCATTTTTCAAGCGAAACATTATCTTTCTAATGCAACTTGAATGAAAAAATTCCATTGATAAATTTCCAAAATTTTTAATTTAAAAAAAAAAAATTAAATATAAAAAAAATTTTTTTTCCTATTCTTTTTTTTTTTATTAATAATGATAATAAAAATTTTTAATCTTTTTTTCCCTTCTTTTTTGTTTTTTTTTTTAATTTTTTTTTGAAACAAATATAGGTTTTTTGCAGATTTGTATAGAGCGAATTTAAAATATTCGCTAAATTTCAACATCAAGAGTAAAAAAAAAAAAGTAAAAGAAATTATCCGTTTGATCAAAAGAAATTATAATGATGGGGAATCGGGAATTATTTATTGTGGGACAATTGAAGATACCGAATATTACAAAGAATTACTAAGAATGAATGAAATTTCTTGTGAACGGTACCATGCAAAATTGTCGAAACAAGACAAGAATGAGATTTTCCTTCGATGGAAGGAGAATCGTATTCAGGTTTTGTGCGCGACAATAGCATTAGGTATGGGTATTGATAAATCAGACACCCGATGTGTCATCAACACCACAGTTTCCAATTCTCTGGCAAATTATTGCCAAGAGACGGGAAGAGTTGGTCGCGACAACATTCCGGGTGATTGCATTTTATTTTACCACTACAAGGATATCTTTGCAAAAATGAAGTTATTCATTAGTGATGGCTCGTATACTCAGGAAATGAAAGAAAAATATATAAAAGAAATGCTGTTATTACTAGGATACTGTGAAAATCAACAGCAATGTCGATATAAATTTATAATTAAACATTTTGATCCTCTTGCAGAAAAATCTTTGGATCCAAATTGGCAATGTCGTAACTGTGATATTTGCAGAAATATATTTCTTGCACATAAACACCGTATTGACATTTCTAAGCTTGCAACAGACATGAAAAGTTTAATTATAAATTTGGAAAACACAAATGTTCCTAGAAATAAGAGACTTAACATCAACGATTTTGTACCTTTTCTTTTGGGGAAGACGACAACGACAAACAGACTGCCGCACTTTTATCAAAATGAAAATTTCGGATGTCTCACCTCTTGGAAAGATGGACAAATTTGGCGATTATTTGCCAATCTATTGGGTTTAGGTGTCTTATCATTAGATTTTTCACCAGACCCAATGAAAAGAAATTCGATCAATAAAAATCATTCAGTGATGATCACTGCAGCAAATCATCACAATGCTCAACCTCCCGTGTTGGTCGAGCAAAGTCATATTGCCAATGTCACCCGGGCAGTTACCATCGCAGACGATCCTCCTCAACAACAACCGCAACAACAACAGCAGCAGCAACAACAACAACAACAACAGCCGCAAATTGTTGAGGAGGATAATATTCCAAATGGAGGTCGTTTAGAGGCAAGTATTTTTAAAAATTTAAATTTAAAACAAAATTTGTTGGAAAGAAATGAAAAAAAAAAATTGATTAATTCATTTCAATTAATTTCAAACTTGATTTTTAATCTTTTCTTTGTTTGCTTGTTTTTTTTGTTTCAGATCCATTTTATTCTAACAAAGAACGAGTTGGAATACTTTAAAAAGAAAACTCCAAAAGTTCTAAGTAGCTTATGCTACAAGGAACTATCTGCGATGGGTTCAGTATTGTCGGTAAATAAGTACAATGAGCAAACCAATGCTGTACGCAATTGATTACATTATTCACACATTATCTTGTGTTTTTTCTTTCTTCTTTTTACACTTTTTAACATTTCTCTTAATCTATTTTATTCTCTTTCTCTCTCTCTCTTATTATTTTGAATATTCTATTTCTGTGTGTGCGTTCATTTCCATATGCCTAGACTAATTATTGTGTTTTTAAAAAAGGAAAACTTACTTTTTGAAATGAAAACAAGAATAAAAAAGTTTTGTTTATATAAAAAAGTGTTTAGCTCAGAATATACATTATAAATTACATAGAGTAATAAAAAAATTGAAACCTTACGAAAAATGTAAAATTTTTAAAATTGAAAAAAAAGAAAAAAAAATTTAATCATTTCTCTTTTTTCTTTGTTACCGAGAGTAAATTAAAGGGCAAAAGTAAAAAAGGGTACCTTTCTTTCATTACTGTTGTTTTTGACTTTTTTGGAAATGATTATTATTAACAATATAAACTTGTAAAATATGCCATGATGAGCGCACAAATGATGAGGGCAAAAGTAAAAAAGGGTTACCTTTCATTTCGCTCACGTTTAAAGAAATTAAAATAAAATTAACTATATATAAAATATTTGACATTATGAATTTTATTGTCTATTGATTTTTCTCTCTTCTTTCTCTCTCTTTCTTACTCTTACTCTTACTCTTTTTAATCTTCAATTCCAATTCTTTTTTTAATTTCACCATTTTTTTTTCTTCATTTCAGAAATTCTATTCCTTCTATCTTCAAAAATTGGTGCCAAAAAGTCCAATAAAAGGAGAAGGAGATGAGATTGCGGGGCCATCGACGGACAAAAAACGCAAGACGGAAACTGACAGTGACAATGACATACACAGAAAAAAAATTAAAATGACAAAAAACAATATTATTCATGACGACAGTGACGATACTGACACAGACAACAAAAACATTAGAATCAAACAAAAAAACGAGACTGACGACGACAGTGATGACAGTTATTTTACCGAAATTAACGACACTGACACTACTACAGACGAGGAACACATTTTTAAACACAAGCACACACACAAAGACAGTGACGACAGTGACGACGACGATGACAATACCGATGATGAGAAAAAATTCGACTATTACGACAAAATCGACTTGAAAAAATTTACTGCCAGCTTGGATGAAGGTGTCGACTTTTTTTTAAAAATGGAGTCCGATTTCCAATGAAAAATTTCAATAAGAAAATTAACATCATCAAGAAGAGAAGGAAGGTGAGAAACGAAGCGTACTTCAAGAAGAACGCGAGGATATTTGAGCCCGGGGAAATTTTGAAAATATTCAATTATTTCCTCATGGAGAATGAGGTAAAAATATCCAAGCCACACCTCACTGCCCTCTCTCGCGTAAGTTGAAATTTTTTTCCTTTTTTCTTCTTCTCTTTTTATTTACAAGAATTGGTGCCAAATAGCCCATATAAAGTAAAGAAGAAAAGCAATTTGCGGGGCCATCGACCACACAGACGACGAACAGAAAACGCAAGAGAAATGACAATGGCATGAACAAAAGTAAAATTAATTTATTAATTTATTATATTCTTTAATTATTTGCTTTTTTCATTTTTCAATATTCATTTAGTGCTTTTTCTTTTTTAATATTATTCCTATTCTCCATCTTATATTTTTAATTTTAATCTTATTTTTATTCTTATTCTTATTTTTACTCTTATTTCTATTTTTATTTTTACTTTTATTTTTACTTTTATTTTTACTCTTATTCTTACTCTTACTCTCTTTAATCTTCCATTCTAATTTTCCTTTTTAAATTTCACAATTTCTTGTTTTTTAATTTCAGAAATTCTATTCCTTCTATCTCCAAAAATTGGTGCCAAAAAGCCCAATGAAAGGAGAAGGAGATGAAATTGCGGGGCCATCGACGGACAGAAAACGGAAGACAGACAATGACAGTGACAATGACAGTGACAGAAAAAAAATTAAAATAAAAAAAAATAATATTATTGACGATGACACGGACGACACTGACACAGACACAGAAAACAAACACATTAAAATCGCACACAAAGACACAACTGACGACGACAGTGATGACAGTTTCTTCACAGAAATCGACGACAGTGACTCTACCACAGATGACGAACAAGTTTAAAAAAAAAAAACCAGACGTGACAGTGATAGTGACAGTAACGACGATGACGATACTGACATTACCGAAGAAGACGAAAAAATCGATTTTTATGACAAAAACGATTTGAAAAAATTTACATCCAGACTTGTGGAGGGTGTCGATTTTTATTATTCGGAAGAAATTCGTTTTCCAATGGAAATGTTACATAAAAAAACGAACAAGATGGAGAAGAGAAGGAAGGTGAAAAGTGATGCATACGTCAGGAAGAACGCGAGGATATTTGAGCCCGGGGAAATTTTGAAAATATTCAATTATTTCCTCATGGAGAATGAGGTGAAAATATCGAAACCACACCTCACTGCCCTCTCTCGCGTAAGTTGAAATTTTTTTCCTTTTTTCTTCTTCTCTTTTTATTTACAAGAATTGGTGCCAAATAGCCCATATAAAGTAAAGAAGAAGAGCAATTTGCGGGGCCATCGACCACACAGACGACGAACAGAAAACGCAAGAGAAATGACAATGACATGAACAAAAGTAAAATTAATTTATTAATTTATTATATTCTTTAATTATTTGCTTTTTTCATTTTTCAATATTCATTTAGTGCTTTTTCTTTTTTAATATTATTCCTATTCTCCATCTTATATTTTTAATTTTAATCTTATTTTTATTCTTATTCTTATTTTTACTCTTATTTCTATTTTTATTTTTACTTTTATTTTTACTCTTATTCTTATTCTTACTCTTACTCTCTTTAATCTTCAATTCTAATTTTCTTTTTTAAATTTCACAATTTCTTGTTTTTTAATTTCAGAAATTCTATTCCTTCTATCTCCAAAAATTGGTGCCAAAAAGCTCAATGAAAGGAGAAGGAGATGAAATTGCGGGGCCATCGACGGACAGAAAACGGAAGACAGACAATGACAGTGACAATGACATACACAGAAAAAAAATTAAAATGACAAAAAACAATATTATTGATGACGACAGTGACGATACTGACACAGACAACAAAAACATTAGAATCAAACAAAAAGACGAGACTGACGACGACAGTGATGACAGTTATTTTACCGCAATTAACGACACTGACATTACTACAGACGACGAACACATTTTTAAACACAAACACACACACAAAGACAGTGACGACGACGATGACAATACCGATGATGAGAAAAAATTCGACTATTACGACAAAAACGACTTGAAAAAATTTACTGCCAGCTTGGTTGAAGGTGTCCACTTTTTTTTTTAAAATGGAGTCCGATTTCCAATGAAACATTTCAATAAGAAAATGAACATCATCAAGAAGAGAAGGAAGGTGAGAAACGAAGCGAACATCAAGAAGAACGCGAGGATATTTGAGCCCGGGGAAATTTTGAAAATCTTTAAATATTTCCTCATGGAGAATGAGGTAAAAATATCGAAACCACACCTCACTGTCCTCTCTTCCGTAAGTTTAAATTTTTTCTTTTTTCTTCTTCTTCTTCTTTTTCTTTTTAATTACATTTAATTGAAATTGATGAAAAGATTTATAAAAATTATTTTTTTTCTTCTTTTTTTCATGTTTCAGCTATTGGAAAATCGGACCATCAAGTCGATAAAGTCGTTTTTGTCTGGTCGTTTGAAAAAACATTATCAAACATTAATTAACGATTCAAAATTAAAGAAAGGAGAGAAAAAAAAGTTTATTTGTAATGTTTGAAAAAATTTTTTATTTCTCACTTGTTTTTCACCTTCTTTTCCAGGTGCATCTTTTCATCACTAGAAACGAGATGGAATATTTCAAGGCAAACTCTCCAAAAGTTTTAAGTAGCTTATGCTACAAAGATCTGTCTGCGATGGGTGCAGCATTGTCCGTAGATGAGTTCAATGTTCAAACCTATGTTGTACGCAATCATCGTAAATTGTGTACACTATCAAAGGTGCTTCCAGAAACAATGGAAGAATACGAACAATGCTACTCCAATAACCCTCAAAGCACGCTTCAACCTTATGATGGTTCATTATTAAATGTAACTCGTCGTTATAAAGCTATGAGCATTATTGGACAACGGCCGCAACAACCACAACTATCACGGCTTCCACTAGCAATTACTGTTGCTGCATCAACAGCGGTTGGATGATTACCACCAGCATCAGGATCTGCAGAAGCATCAGCATCTGCAGAAGCATCAACATCTGCAAAAGCATCAACATCAGGGTCTATAGCACCATCTATTGTTCGAGTACCAATAGCAATTCCATCTGCTATGCAGCCCTTTGTTGTACTCGAACGTGTGCCAATTGCTGGTCCCTCTCGTTCTCGTCATCAGCAGCAAAATAAAAGTGAAAAGGTTTCTCCTGAACGTCGGAGAATTTTACAATTCTCCAATGATGACAGTGATAGTAGCGATTAATGATGACAAAAACAATGACGAGTAGTGGAGTGTGATTTGTGGTTTATTAAAAATAATATTATAAACTATTTAAAAAGTGAACAATCTTTTTTGTAAATATGTGGTAGAATCCTATCGTATCGTGACACGATACCGACACGATACCTTTGCTTCGTGACGGTCCCTGATAAAAAGTAAACACGAAGATGACACAATAAATTATTGTGTACAAATAAGTTGGTTGTTTAGTTGCTTGATTTAGTTGGCTTACTTGGATAGTTTATTTTATTAATTAGTTGATTAATTAGTATAGTTAGTTTAGTTGGTTTAGTAAATTTTGTAAATCCTTGAATGTTGCAATTTCAAAAAGCGGGTGTTTGGGAAATTTGAAATTTTAACACGTTTCAATTAAACCCATGATCCATTTTTCAATTAAAACATTGGCCTTCATTTTGAAATTTAAATGAAAAAATTCCTTGGACAAATTTGTAAATATTTTGAAATTAAAAAAAAAAGGAAAATTTTTTTTCTTTCCTCCTTTCCTTCTTTCTTTCTTTTTGTTTTTTATGATGAATTTTTTGTTTCAATTTAAAAAATTGAAACATTACGAACAATGTAAAATTAAAAAAAAAAAAAGTTAAAACAAAAGAGTGTAAAAAAGGAAAGGTGCACTTTTTTACTTTTGCCCTTTAATTTACTCTCATGAATAAAAAAAAGAGAGATGATTAAATTTTTCCTTTTTTTTAGAAATGATTATTATCAACAATATAAATTTGTAAAATATACCATGATGAGCGCGCAAAAGTAAAAAAAATTTACCTTTCATTTCGCTCACGTTCAATGAAAAAAAAAATCAATTTATAAAATATTTGACATAATCAATTTTATTGTCAATTTATCTTTCTCTCTTTTTTCTTTTCTTTCCTTCTTTCCTTCTTTTTCAGCCAGTTTCTTTTTAATTATCTTTAATTGTTAATTCTTCAATTGCAACATTTAATTTTAAAAATTTTGAAATGTCTAAAAAATTTTTTCTTCTTTTATTTTTAGTATAAGCAGCAAGTAAAATCGCAATGGCGCAACAATTGTGGATTCAGAAATTGAAAAACAAATTCCACTTGAATAAATTTAGAGGGCCCCAAGTGGAAATCATTACCAATATTTCAAATGGTAATGATGGACTATATGTCATGCCAACGGGAGGTGGCAGATCATTATGTTTTCAATTTCCCACATACCTGGAGAATTATGATGACAATGGTGCTCATACTACTAATAAACGTACAGCAATCATAATTTCTCTATTACTTGCTCTTATAGAAGATCAAGATAATTATCTACAAAAGTTGCACGTAAGTAATTATATTTTTATAAAAAGTTTAAAAAATCATTTCTTCCATTTTAAATATTAATTTGTTTCCTCAAATTGTAATAGTCTACATTTTTACAACGGAGGATAAAATCAACGAAATTGATTTTATATTTATAACGCCAGAGAAATTATTCAATAATCAAAAAGTGTTGGATCAATTGCGGAAGGCATATGACTGGGGAAAATTATCGCGTGTAATTATTGATGAAATCCATTGCATGTTGGGTTAGGGATGTACATTCAGAGATTCTTATGTCAGTTTACAATATTTAAAAACGTATTTTTCTCGAATCCAAATTTGCGGCTTTTCAGCAACAATCACACGTGATGAAATTCCCATTTTACAAACAACATTGGAACTCGACCAAAATTGCATGGTGTAAGTTTTTTTTTGATAACTTTTCTTTCTTTTTTTTTTAATTGAAGGAAAAATGAAGGAAATAAAGTAGAAAATATCTAAAAAATGTAATTTTAGCCTATATTGGTTCATTTTAAATGTCATTAATTATTTCATATCATTTTTCAATAAATTCCTTGGATAAATTTCCGAAATTTTTAATTTTGAAAAAAAAATGAAAGAAAAAAGAATGTTTTTTTCTCATCCTTCTTTTTTATTAATAATAATAATAAAAAATTTTAATTTTTTTTTTTAATTTTTTTGTAAATGAATATAGGTTGTTTGCAGATTTGTATAGGGCGAATTTAAAATATTCGCTAAATTTCAACATCAAGAGCAAAGAAAAGAGGGGAGGAGAAATTATCCGTTTGATGAGAACAAAATATAATGATGGGGAATCGGGTATCATTCATTGTGGGAAGATTGAAGATACCGAACTATACTGTAAATTACTAAGGGATAATGGCTATTCGTGCGAACGGTACCATGCAAAATTGTCGAAACAAGACAAGAATGAGATTTTTCTTCAGTTGAAGGAGAATCGTATTCAGGTTTTGTGCGCGACAATAGCATTAGGTATGGGTATTGATAAATCAGACACCCGATTTGTCATCAACACCACCGTTTCCAATTCTCTGGCAAATTATTGCCAAGAGACGGGAAGAGTTGGTCGCGATAACATTCCGGGTGATTGCATTTTATTTTACCACTACGAGGATATCTTTACAAAAATGAAATTATTCATTGGTGTTTACACGTATAGTCGGGAAATTAAAGATAAATATATAAAAGAAATGCTGTTATTACTAGGATACTGTGAAAATCAACAGCAATGTCGATATAAATTTATAATTAAACATTTTGATCCTCTTGCAGAAAAATCCTTGGATCCAAATTGGCAATGTCATAACTGTGATATTTGCAAAAAAATATTTCTTGCAGATAAACACCGTATTGACGTTTCTAAGCTTGCGACAGAGATGAAAAGTTTAATTATAAATTTAGAAAACACAAATGTTCCTAGAAATAATAGACTTAACATCAACGGTTTTGTACCTTTTCTTTTGGGGAAGACGACAACGACAAATAGACTGCCGCACTTTTGTCAAAATGTAAATTTCGGATGCCTGACCTCTTGGAAAGATGGACAAATTTGGCGATTATTTGCCACTCTATTGGGTAATGGTGTCTTATCATTAGATTTTTCACCAAATCCAATGGAAAGAAATTCGATCAATACAGATCATTCAGTGATGATCACTGCAGCAAATAATCACCATGCTCAACCTCCCGTGTTGGTCGAGCAACAACAAGGTCATTATGCCAATGTCACCCATGCCGTTACCATCGCAGACGATCCTCCTCAACAACAACAACAGCCGCAGCAGCAACAACAACAACCGCAGCAGCAGCAACAACAACAGCTGCCAATTGTTGAGGAGGATAATATTCCAAACAGAGTTCCTTTAGAGGCAAGTATTTTTAAAAATTTAAATTTAAAAAAAAATTTGTTGAAAAGAAATAAAAAAAAAATTGATTAATTAATTTCAATTAATTTCAAACTTGATTTTTAATCTTTTCTTTGTTTGTTTGTTTTTTTTGTTTCAGATCCATTTTATTCTAACAAAAAACGAGTTGGATTACTTTAAAAAGAAAACTCCAAAAGTTCTAAGTAGCTTATGCTACAAGGAACTGTCTGCGATGGGTTCAGAATTGTCGGTAAATAAGTACAATGAGCAAACCAATGCTGTACGCAATCATCGTAGATTGCGTACATTAGCAAAGGTGTTGCCAGAAACCATGGAAGAATACCAACAATGCTGCTCCAATAATCCACAGAACACTATTCAGCCTTATGACAATGCATTATTGAATGTAACTCGTCAATACAAGGCTTTGAGCATTATTGGAGAACGGCCGCAACAACCACAACCACCAGAGGCCCCACCAGCAATTCCTGCTGCTGCTGCTGCTGCCACACCAATATTGGCTGAACAAACACTTACAACACCTACAGCACCTACAGCACCTCTAACGCTTACAACACTTACAACACCTACAACACCTACAACAGCAGCACCTACAACACCTTCAGCAACAGCAGCACCTACAACACCTACAACACTTTCAGCAACAGCAGCACCTACAACACCTACAACACCTGCAGCAGCAGCACCTGCAACAACTCGAGTACCAATAGCAATTCAATTTGCTATGCAGCTCTTTGTTGTACTCGAACGTCTGCCAATTGCTGGTCCCTCTCGTCCTCGTCATCAACCGGAAAGTGTTAAAAGTTTAAAAATTTGTCCTGGACGTCGGAGAATTTTAGAATTCTCCAATAGTGACGACAGTAGCGATGATAGTGATTGATGAAGAAAACAATTATGAGTAGTGGAGTGTGGTTTGTGGTTTTATAAAAATACTATTAAAAATTGTTTTAAAAAGTGAAAATTTTTTTTTTAATTTTTTTTTTAATTTTATCAAATTGAGTAAATCAAAATCAAAACCAAAATAAAGAAGATGATGAAGAAGAAGAATATGATGATGAAGAAGAAGATGGAGAAGAAAAAGATGATGATGATGAAGAAGAAGAAGAAGAAGAAGAACACCAATAAGTTTGCGGCACCCAAGGCGAGGAAGCCCGTGACAAAAAGTGTTGCCAAGAATTTTAAGTTAAATAAAATTCTTAGTCGATGGTTGAAAACAATCGGCCCTTTTCAGGGCCATCAATTTTTTTTTACGAAAGAATTTCTTTGTATCTCAAACATAAATATTTTTAATATTATTCAAGTCTAAAATAATTCATAGCTCATACGGCTATGGTTTTTTTTTTTTTTCAATGACTTAAAATTTCCTTTTAATATAAATTTTAAATTATTATTGAAATATTTATTTTCTGTTTACAGAAAAGTAGTACATCTGCATTTTTTTATTAGTTTACAAATATTTGGATTTCAGATTTCAAAGAATTAAATTTTTTAAAAGTAACCTTATTCACAATTATTTATAATTTTACTAAAACTATTTATAGAATTTAGAAAATTCTGCCAAAAAATTCATCTATAAATCTATTATGATTATTATTAATTATTATAAATGAATTGAAAAAATAATTTAAACGTAAAATTATTTGTTGGCCCTGAAAAGGGCAGATTGCTTTATTTTTTTTCATCATAATAATGTTTATCAAAATAATAATTATTTTTAATTTCTTTTTTAACGTAATGTAGGAGAACAAGCTCGGAATGATACTGAGGCGGTGAAAGTATTCAGTTTTATTAAATGTCTACTTTCACTCATCCCCTCCACCATTTGACCGACCAATCAGGCTGTTAGTTTCCCCTTCTCTCTGACTAATCGTTGCATGTGCTTCTGAAACGTATAAATATGTGCGTTTTTTCATTCGTAAGCATTATTATTCATTTCTCCCTTGTACTCGTCACGTCGAAGAAATGGCTCATGTGAAACAAACCGCCCGTAAATACACCGGTGGTATATCACCTAGGAAACAACTTGGTACCAACGATGTGAAGAAGAGCGCGCCTGCAACTGGTATTATGAAGAAGCCCCATAGCTGCACACCGGGAACAGTCGCTCTAAGTGATATTTTTCGACATCAGAATAGTACCCAAATCATTATTGACAAACTGCCCTTCCAACCTTTGATCCGTCAAATAATACAGTCTATTAAGACTGATATTCAATTTGACAACACTGCTTTGATGGCCCTCCAGTATGGAAGCGAGAACTACCTCGTAAGTCTTTATGAAAGAAGTATTTCTTTCGTCATCAACGAAAACAAAATCTCCATCATGACGAAGGACTTGGAAGTAACTCGTCGTATTTTTGGAGAATTTGTTTAATTATTATAAAAATATTTAAAAAGAAGAAAAAAAAATTATCAATCGGCCCTTTTCAGGGCCAAAAAATGTTTTTACGTGAGAATTATTTTTGAATTCTTATTCAAAAATATATATATATATATATATATATATTGGTATTTCTACAAACGAAGGCAAAAAAATTAATATATTTTTGGTTCTACATTTTTTTTACTTTCATGTTTTAAAGTTGCTAGTCAAAAAAATAAAAAAATTTTACATTGTACCTGAGGACATTCTTTTTATATTCAGTCATAGTAACTACTCCGTTCAGTTGCAGTAACTAATTTTTTAATCTCAAGGACTTAGTTGAAATATAGCCAATATATGATTTTAAATGACTTAACAATTGAGCAATAGTTAAAAGTACTTTTGAAAATAGTTATTTTCAAAATTTCTGTAGTAAAATTATCAATTTTTTACTAGTTTTAAAAAATTTAAACTTACTATTTTCATATAATAAAAATAACATTAAAAATTGTTAATTTTATGACTTTTTAAGTTATAAAAATAAATGTTTCTCACCACCATAGAAATAAATTATCAAAAAGCTAGTAAGAATTGGTTCTTTTAACTACATTAAACATTAAAAAAAAAAACAAATTCCAACGGTTTTTTTTTTTTACTCTTTGGAACAGTCAATTTTAATTTTTTTTTTTTGCAAATAGCAAAAAATTGATATTTCTACTACAGAAATTCCGAAAATAACTATTTTTAACAATACTTTCAACTATACTGCATTATTGTTATGTTTTTGTTAATATTAAAAAAATAGAATAATTATATAATTGCAATTTGATCTATTTGCAAATGGGGAAGAGCAAATAATTATAAAAAAAAATTGTACAAAATTTTCAATACTGTACAAAAGTTACCGAGAATAATTTTAACGAGAGAAAGCCAACGAGCACTGGGGCCTTTCTTCACCGTCCGTGCGTATTACTATGTCGACGAGCGTAGGGGAATGTGTTCATTACTGTATGAACACTTGAGTTGAAAGCATCATCAAGTTATTCAACACTTTTTGTCGTTGCGCTGTATGTTCCTTCAAGTTGAACGTCACCAAGGCTGAGAGCAATGTCAAAGTTAAGCCCAAGATCAAGACTGCCGCAAAAACTAAAATTTGTCGTAACAAAGGCCAATAAAGTAACTTCTCCGAAGAATGCCGTGCCAGCCAAGACTAAGAAAGCCGTTGCCGAGAAGAAGAAGAAGAAGAAGAAGAAGAAGAAGAAGAAGAAGAAGAAGAAGAAGAAGAAGAAGAAGAAGAAGAAGAAGAAGAAGAAGAAGAAGAAGAAGAAGAAGAAGAAGAAGAAGAAGAAGAAGAAGAAGAAGAAGAAGAAGAAGAAGAAGAAGAAGAAGAAGAAGAAGAAGAAGAAGAAGAAGAAGAAGAAGAAGAAGAAGAAGAAGAAGAAGAAGAAGAAGAAGAAGAAGAAGAAGAAGAAAGAAGAAGAAGAAGAAGAAGAAGAGAAGAAGAAGAAGAAGAAGAAGAGAAGAAGAAGAAGAAGAAGAAGAAGAAGAAGAAGAAGAAGAAGAAGAAGAAGAAGAAGAAGAAGAAGAAGAAGAAGAAGAAGAAGAAGAAGAAGAAGAAGAAGAAGAAGAAGAAGAAGAAGAAGAAGAAGAAGAAGAAGAAGAAGAAGGAAAAAACTTGAATAAAAATTCAAAAAAGAATGGCAGCTGCAGAAATTTACATTGGCGAGAGGAATATTATTCCACTATTTGATTTCAGCAGAAAAGAAATGCAAGTATTATATTTAAAAAAAAGAAATTTTTTAAAATAATTTCTTTCATAATTTTACACAATTGTAGACAATAAAATTTAATTTTTCTACTTTTTTTTGTTACAGTGATTTACTGGTAAATGCAAACGAATTCATCGTTGAGGAATGGTGTGCACGTCTACAAGAATGGCTGCCAATGCACACCATTCTCTCACAAAATTCTAATTTACCAGTAGAAGGATTGACAACAATAAGTGGTGTAAAAAATTTTAATAAAGATTTCGTTGAAATTGTGGGGGGGGGGAAATTATTGTTGCAAATTTGGAATGAGGAGGACATACGACAACGACGACGACGACCATGATGACTCGACGGCAGCAACAGCATCATTGAGGAGAAATGCTGGGATTGTAGCGTTGATCCCTAATGTTGGTAGGAGAAAATTTGATTTAAATAATAATCCAATTCTCGACATTTGGAATTATTTGAATATTGATGTAAATGAAATTCCATCAATATTCAAAAAAGCACTCACAAATGTCGAAAATGATTATTATTTAAATCAAATAATGATAGACTTTTGTTACATTAACCGAGTTCCATTGCATATGTTGTTAAACGTAATGCAATGGAATTTTGGTGAGCAATTTTCATTGCATAATGTAACAGAAGCAATCAGCTCCTACCAACATTACAATGATGTTGTTGTTGGTCATTTACGAAGACTGTCAAGTTACTCTTTCTCAAGAGTGTATAAGAGGATAATAAATTTAAATTTAACTGAATGAGAGAATGATTAAAAAATTTTTTAAAAAATGTTGTAAAAAGAGGAGAAGGAAATTGGAAAATAAAAATTATATTTTTAAATTATTTGAAAACAAAAAACTTTGCCTTTTCATTTAAATGACAATTGTTTGTTTTTTTTAGCATACTATTCCAATCTCGTTTTTTCAAAAAATTTTTAATATCATTTCGATGATAAAAATATATGTAAAAAAATTATTATCATCTCATGCCTTTTTTGTGTTCCTCACCTTTTTATTCTATTTATCCTTATTCTTTTTATCCTTCTTCTTCTTAAATATTTCCTCACATCTCATATATCCATTATATACCACATCCTCCTCCCCTACTTTTCTCGTCACACACACTATACTTTAAGATTTATTTTATAAAAGTCAATATTTTTCAAAATGATTATTCACAAATAATTTTTTTAATTTTTTTGTAATTACCAAAAAAAAGTTTTTAATTCTAAATTATCAAAAACAAAATACAATAATAAAAATAAAGATTAACAATAAATTTGAAATATAAATAGGAAAAAAAATAATTTATACAAATGTAGAATATCTGTATTTATACTTTCCGCCAATTTTTTTCACCCTAAAAAAAAATTGGGGCGAATTTTCACGGAAAATTTGTCGTTTACAATTTCTTTTTCTTGTACCAAAAAAAAAATCATGTATCTATATATATTATCGTGAGAGAAAGAGAGTAAGTGTGAAAGAAAGAAAGAAAGAAAGAGTGAGTGAGTGATTGAGAGAAAGAGAGAAAGAGAGAATCTACTTTGATTGGTGTAGAAAATAATATGTGACGCTCCACGAGAAAAGGGACCTTAGCTGCAAAAAAATTAATTTTGAGTTATTTATATCATTCTGTACTTTTTGAGTTGCTCTTTCATATACAAAAGGCAAAAATAATTTTTACTTACAGGTTTTTTTGTTATCAATGTTTAAAAATGAACCTTTTGAGTGTTTACACCCGGATGTTTAGAAAATCAGCCCCTCTACTTTCTAACACAACTACACAGGTTATGTACGAACAACTCGTGCGCTTCGTGTAACATGGATAACTATCAATGTGTAGTGAGTAGTGGGGCTGACTTTCAATGGAACGTCTTGACCAATGAGAGTGGTTCCACTTTAAATGCCTTTCCTGCAAAACTCGTCTGTAAGTCATAAGGTCCCTTTTCTCGTGGAGCGTCACATATATGAATGAATGTCAAATGAGAAATGAGAGAATTGAATTTTTGAAAATGGATATTAATAAAAGAAATTGTAGTTGATTATAAATTGTGATTAATGCAAAAAAGTTGAAAGAAAAGAAAAATTGAACATATAAATTGATAATAAAAATCTATAATAGAAATTTGAAAAAAAAACAAAAAAAAGAAACAAAAAATGATGGGAAATATTAATAAGGAAATAATTTTTCCGGAATTTCCATATTCCACATTGGAAATGTGAGTATAGAATTTGAAAATTTTAAATTTTATAGTGCATGAATTTTTAGGGTTAGGTGAATGATGAGTAATTAAGAGATAGAGAGAGAGAGAAAGAGATGGATTTTGATGATTAATGATAAATTATTAATCAAAAAAAAAAAAAAAATACTAGCTGAAAAGATGAAAATTTTATATTTATAAAAATTTACAAATTCAATTTTACAAATATATGAATAAAATAAAATCTAATTGAAATTGGAGAATTCAACTTTTTTTGTTTTACAGAAATTTGCTACAAGAGAAAAAATCTGGGGAATTCAACAGAATTATACGCAATTTAAAGTCCTGGTGGCCAAATGCGAGTATTGAAATTCCTTTGGAAATTTAATTTCCAAAGGATAATGAGGAAGAAGATTTATTGTTCGAATTTCAACAATTGAGGAAATCAATTTCCTCAAATTCCATTTCCTCATTATCAGATTCCTTCTCATTATACGGAGAAGAGGAATTGAGATTAGGAAGAGGAGGAGGGGGAAGAAGAAGAAGCAGAAGCAGGAGCAGTAGTCTTCTCAAAGTGGATGAGGAGGAGGAAAAAAGATTTCAACAAAAAATTGCCCTCATACGAGAGGAAGTGCGAATTGTATTGAAGAGAATAAATGATAGTGCTGCTGCTGCTACTGCTGCCCACACCACTACCGTTGATGAATTTCCAATAGTCAATTCATCAACATCTTCTTCTTCTTACATTATTAATGTTAATAATGATGATAATGTTGATAATGTTGATGAGAATGATGCAAAAGTACGTTTGACTCTGTCATGCGTCAATGTCATTTGTAATCCTGGATTGTGTAGAAAGAAATGGAATAATCCATGGGAAAAAATGATGAATTATTTAAATGATCCAATCATTCCCAAGGATTATTACAAATTATTTCACAATCCAGATTACGATGAACTTGATTTGCATGACAGAGTCATATTTTGGCTATGCAAATCGAGTACCCACAAATTTATTGATTAATGTACTACGTCACAATTATCCTGGTCAATTTACAGAAAACTACGAGGATAATGTGACGTATATGTATGAAAAATTTAACAATAAATCTGTGGATGGCGAGAGATTGCGTAGCCTCTATGAAACGTATAGTGTGTTGAATGAATGTGAGGTAAATTTAAATTTACAAAAATTAAATGAATGAATGATGTGTGTGTGTGTGAATGAGTAGTAGCATCAACATCAACATTATCATCAAAACGAAAATAATTGAATTATTATTTTCATTTGTAAAATGAACAGAACAAATTAAATAAAATGTAATTAATAAGAAAGAATTAATATTATTTATTTCTATCCCCATTTTATTTGCAAATAATAATTCAATTCTTTCTTATTATAGCAAATTATAATAAGAAAGAATTGAATTATTGCACACGCTAACACCATCTGTAATTAGAAATTATAATCGTCGTTGAAAAAAATACACACGTCTTTAATTTATCTGCACTCGTGTGAGGTAGTGGTAACTTATCATGGATAAGTGAAGAACGGCAGTCGGTACATGATAAGTTATCATGGATAAGTGAAGAACGGTAAAATTACTTGTGATAATTTAAACTTTGTCGTCGTGTTTTTTTGATAAATAAATTACAAAAACACGACGATTAGTGTTGCAAAAAGCGAGTGTGTGTGTGTCTCATTTGAGAGAGAGAGAGAGAAATATTTAAAACGTGTGATGCGTTACAATCTTGTTTGAACAATAATATTTTCGTGTGTGTGTTGTACTAAATGAATAATTCAACTTGATAATAATAATGTGTAGAGCTTGTGTTTCAAAAAAAAGACACACGGCACCGTGGTAGTAACTTGTAATCAATGTTTTGTATGATGATAGTAAAATACACACGGCAGAATTATCTGCACTCGTGTAACTTATCATCAAAATACAGCATTATCTGCACTCGTGTGAGGTAGTGGTAAATTATCATCAAAGTACACAATTATCTGCACTCGTGTGTGGTTGGTAACTTATCATCAATAAGTAGTATACACAAGTTCAGAAATACAGTGATGCAAGTCTGGTTGCATTCAATCGCGAAACACAAAATAACTATTGTTTTTAAACAAATATAGTTAAAACACATAATGATTCCCTTATTATTTAACAACTAAAATAAAATTAAAGCCTTTTAAAAAAAATAATATTGTTTTAGTGTAAACACGACAAGAATGATATTTTTTTTTACTTATTAGATGGATAATAATTATCATAAAAATTAAAATATGGGCAAAGTTATTAAAAAATAAAAGATTATAAGCATTTAGAGTTTACACTTATTTAGTAATAGTTGTGTTGTTATTATTGAATTATCGAAACGTTAAAATATCGTGACAAAGATATCGATAACATTTTTAAAATCAACGTTTCGATATATTCGTCACTACACAGTGTGTAATAGTACAAAATAGAGAATTGAATTGAGAAAATAGAAAATTGAAAAAAAATAAAAAAAAAAATTTTGAGAAAATAGAGAATTGTGGTGATTGTGACACGTGTGTGTAAGCACAAAGAGAGAGAGAGCGCCATATATGTAAGTAAAAAAATATACATTATAATAATTATATATAGAAGATAATATAACCTAATAATGTTGCGTGCACGTGTTTAGATTGGAAAGAGAAATTATTCCTTTTATTCAATTAAATTAATTCTTATTATTATATCAATAATTATAAATATTATAATAAGAATTATTACTTTTTTACAATGCTACTCTGTTTTCATAAACAATAAAAACAATTTATTTATAAAATTGATTCTATAAATATATAACATTGTTTACAAACAAATTAATGTATACGATTTTATAATTAATATATTGTAAAATATTTTTGCAAAATTTCTTCTTACTTTAGTTTTCTAATAACACAATTGACCTTTTCTTTTCCCTATGTTCACAACAACAACAACTCAATTGAAAAACTTTCTGTACGTAGTAGTAGTACAAAGTGAGAATCACCTCTACTTTTTCAAATTGAATAAAACCCCCCTTTTTTGTGGCCAATATAAAAGCAATCGAGTTTTAGCTATTTATCTATTATTGTGTGTGTGTGTTGATATTACAAATAAACCAAAATATACTTGATCGAGAGAGAGAGAGTGTATGAAAAATCTAAAGGAAAGAATATAAAAATCGAATTTCATAAAATTCAACATTTTTTTCACTCTTTCATGGGATTTAGCTTCATTATTTTTGGGCTCTCTAGTCATTCTTTACTTATTAAGTAGTCTCGACTCTTTGGTAAAAAAAATCTAAAAGTATCTAAAATTATTAAAAATTCAAAAATGCGAATTTCTTAAAATTCATAATTTTTGCTCTCTTTCATGGGATTGAGCTTCATTATTTTTTAGCTCTTGGAAAAAACTTTACATATTAAATAGTGTCGACTTTTTGGTAAAAAGTCTAAAATTATCCAAAATTATTAAAAATTCAAAAATGCGAATTTCTTAGAATTCAACATTTTTTCTCTCTTTTATAGGATTTAGCTTCATTATTTTTGGGGTCTTGGAAAATACTTTACATTTTAAATTGTCTCGACTCTTTGGTAAAAAGTCTAAAATTATAAAAAATTATTAAAAATTCAAAAATGCGAATTTCTTAAACTTCAACATTTTTTCTCTCTTTTATGGGATTTAGCTTCATTATTTTTGGGCTCTTGGAAAATACTTTACTTATTAAATGGTATCGAATCTTTGGTAAAAAATCTAAAATTATCCAAAATTATTAAGAATTTAAAAATGAGAATTTCTTAAAATTCAACATTTTTTCTCTCTTTTATGGTACTTAGCTTCATTATTTTTGGGCTCTTGGAAAATACTTTACATTTTAAATTGTCTCGACTCTTTGGTAAAAAATCTAAAAATATCGAAAATTATTAAAAATTCGAAAATGCGAATTTCTTAAAATTCAACATTATTCATTCTTTTTTATGGCATTTAACTTCATTATTTTTAGGCTCTTGGAAAATACTTTACATATTAAATAGTCCCGACTCTTCGGTAAAAAATCTAATATTATCGGAAATTATCAAAATTTGAAAAAACCGATTTTCTTAAACTTCAACATTTTTCCTGCTTTTTTATGGCATTTAGCTTCACTATTTTTGGGCTCTCGGGTCATTCTTTATGTATTAAGTAGTCTCGAATCTTTGGTAAAAAATGTAAAATTATCGAAAATTATTAAAAATTCAAAAATGCGAATTTCTTAAAATCCAACATTTTTTCTCTCTGTTATAGGATTTAGCTTCATTATTTTTGGGCTCTTGAAAAATACTTTACTTATTAAATAGTCTCGACTCTTTGGTAAAAAATCTAAAAATATCGAAAATTATTAAAAATTCGAAAATGCGAATTTCTTAAAATTCAACATTATTCATTCTTTTTTATGGCATTTAGCTTTATTATTTTTAGCCTCTTGGAATATACTTTACTTATTAAATAGTCTCGACTCTTCGGTAAAAAATCTAATATTATCGGAAATTATCAAAATTTGAAAAAACCGAATTTCTTAAAATTTAACATTTTTCCTTCTTTTTTATGGCATTTAGCTTCTTAAATTTCAACATTTTTTTCTCTCTTTTAGGGAGCGTTCACAAATTACGTAACATTATAAAGGGGAGGGGGGGCGTCTAGCTATTTGTTATGTACAGCAGAAAAAATGGCGCTAATGTATGTTGCAGTGTATTACATGGGGAGGGGGGGGGGTCAAAATTTTCAAAAATTAGCGTTACGTAATTTGTGAACGCTCCCTTATTAGATTTAGCTTCATTATTCTTGGGCTCTTGGAAAATACTTTACTTATCAAATAGTCTTGACTCTTTGGTAAAAAATCTAAAATTATCAAAAATTAGCAATTTTTTTGGAAAAAAAAGGCAAATAGTAAATTTATAAATTTAAAGTCATAAATAAAAAATTTATTCATAATTTATCAAAGTGTATTATTTACTCTGCTAATTCAAATTGAAAAAATTCTTTCAAAAAATGTTTTAAAGAGGAAAGGTTAATTAATGAAAATAAAATACATATTTGTAAATAGTATGCATGCAACTAACTTGTCAAGTGGCATCACAGTTTGTGACGGTCTACTTTGTTGTTCCCTCGGTAAATGCTGAGCCTTCGTTGTAGGGATGGGTTCTATCTTTGCATCATCACATCTTCTGGGCCACCCCTAAAGATCCCTGGCTCTTGATTGCACTTCTGCGCCAGATTTGGAGCCACACGGAACCGTAAAATTAGAAAATTTGAAATAAAAATAAATAAAAAATAGACTGAATGGAATGCTTTGAAAAAAGGCTTCGTTCATAAATTACGTCACACGATTTAGCCCATTTTTGACCCCCTTCCCCCCTTTGTCACACTAAGTAACATCTGAAGGAACCCCTTCCTTCTAAATTACAGTACCGTCCGAAATTGTCAGTCCACTTATTTTTAAAGGAATGAAAAAAATTTTTTAACATTAAATTCATGAAAACTAAAATTTTTTTTGGTTTATATTTTGAAACACCATAAAATTTTGAAAAGAATAAGACCTCACAGAAGTCATTAGGCCAAAATTTGTAGAAGATATTCTTAAAAATCGTCATTTTCAATGTTTTACAAAAATTTGAATAACGTTTAAAGTAATGAACGCTTTTTAATAATTTTAGACTTATTTTAAAGGTCATTTTCTACGGAATAAGAATTACTTATAGGCATTAACCTGTAATTTTTTACTTGGAATAAGCATGACGTCAAAGTTGGACAAAAAAATAGGAAAAATTTGAAATAATATTATTAAAAGAAAAATAATTTTTGAAATTCAAACATATTTTTTTATTAAATTTTCTTGAAAAATCTACACCATATCATGTTTTATATATGTTCTAGAATAGTTTCAATTTATTTCAAATTTTTCCAATTTTTTTGTCCAACTTTGACGTTATACGCGTAATAGCAAAAAAAATTTAGTGTATTAGAGTGTACACCATTTTAATCAGTAAGTACCCCCTAGTGATGCAATATCGATATCGAAATATCGGAAATATCGATATTTTGGTATTAATATTTCGATATTTTATATCGATATCTTACAAACGATATATCGATTCAAATATTGATATTGGTCTGTCGATATCGATATTTTCAGTATGGACAAAGACTAAGTTTTTTTTGCGTTGAGGTTTTGCACATTGAACTACATATCGTTTGTCGACACACGTTTACACCGCCATGTGATTCTACCCTTAAGCTTTGTGTGGCAGATTGTGAACTTAACGTTAATGTATATCGAAGCACTGCTTCTGACCGTAATTTGTATTTATATTCTATGCATGTATTCTGTGTATTTGTATGTCAAGTTTTAGTCAAGTTACAAGTTACAAACAACTGAACGTTTAAAATTAATGCATTGATGTCGTGTAGTTAATTAAATCGAACTAATTTTATAATATTTTGAATGATCACTACGCAAATAGAAGGATAAGAACAATTAAAAAGGTACGTACGACTAAAAATTTTGACTTTGAGCGCAAGAAACAACACGAATGATAATTTTTATAAACTCGAGTATACAAAAAATATTATTATTAGAGAATAAAATTCGTTCTATTTACCTTATTTTATCTTAACTGAAAATTCCAAAAGCATTGTGAAACTTGAAAAAAACTTTTTTTTGACATTTTACGTGACATAACCTCCAAGTGAATATATATACATTTGATCCACAAAATACAATAAAATCGTATCATTTTTATATTTCAACCTCATTTTTATAGAGATTTATTATAAATTATTTGTATTAAACGTTGTGTTATTAGTGATTGTTATAATTTCTTATTTCGCGTTATTAATTCGTTAGCTATACAATGTAAAAAAATTTTCATTCGAAAGATTATATTTATAGTGTTAATAATTCAGTAAATATATTGCTACAAGTTTAAATAATTAATAATTAAATAATTAATTTACAGATCACTAAATTCTATGCATTTATAAAATGAGCGGTGGTCCAAGTCCTGTGCGAAAGCACTTTTTACCTACAGATAAGAAAAACCTCATGCAATGTAAATATTGCTCAGGTCCTCATTCGCTAGTAAAATGTTCTGGAAACACTACAAATATGTTTAACCATTTAAAGGCGAATCATGTTGAGATCTATAACGCTCTTATGATAGAAATTGATGAAAAAAAATCCAACCTCAAACGGAAACACGAAAATAAGGAAAATTCATCGTCGACTAACAAATCAACTAGTGCTCAAAACAATGAATCTGTTAGTTCTAGTGCAAGCGAATCTTTGACGACTACTGAGCCAAGCGAACAATCAGGCAGGGAAAATATTAAATATTCATTTAAAAATATTTCATCATTTCAAGAAGGAGGCACTAAACACAAAAATCTAACAGATAAAATCTTATTTATGATCTGTGAAGATAGTGAACCGTTTTCAATGGTAGAAAGAAAGGGATTTATAAAAATGATGAAATATGCAGTTCTGAATTATAAAGTACCTTCTAGACAAACGTTTATTAATCACTTGGATTCAAAATACGACACAGTATCTCAAAAGTATAAGATACTTCTGAAAAACGTAACGTGCGTAACACTAACTACAGATATTTGGACAGAAAGTAAAAACACACGGAGCTTTCTTGGTGTTACCGTTCATTTTCGTGATAAAGATCAATTTATGTCGGGAATACTGGGTGTACATGAACTGACTGAAAGTCACACTGCAATATACATCAAAGAAATACTCGAAAAAGTATGCGCAGAATGGGAAATAGATAAAAGTATTATCACAGCCATCGTTACTGATAATGCGGCAAATATGGCGCTTGCCGTTGAATTATTTCTTGGGAAAAATCATCGCTTGGGATTTTGTGCTCATACTATAAATTTAGTAGCAACGGATTCTATCAAGAAAATTGACGGATTGGATAACGTGATAAAAAAAGTAAAAACTATTGTAACATGGTTCAAAAGAAGTGTCAACGCTACCGATTTGCTGCGCAAAAAAAGTAAATTAAAATTAATTCAAGACGTTGAAACACATTGGAATTCTACGTTTTACATGATCGAGAGATTCATCGAACTACGAAAAATTGTAAACGAAATTTTAGATGATTTTTCCTCAGCGCCTCCTGCGGTTACTGCTGCCGAATTAGAGATACTAAAAGAGCTGACAAATGTACTCCGTCCTTTGGAATCAGCTACGAGAGATTTGTGTGGTCAAAAATATGTCACAACCAGCATGGTGATACCACTAATAAATGGATTGCAGAGAGAGTTGGAGAATCTAGTTCTTGAACACCAAGTAGCTTCAGTTTTGAAAGAAAATCTTTTAAAAGAAATTCTTCGCAGATTTGGACTCATGGAATCCTGCCACTTTTTTGCTATTGCTACAATCTTAGATCCGAGGTTCAAAAAAGTGGTGTTTAAGCAACCAACAGAGTGTGCACGTGCAATAAGTCAAATCAACAGATTATTTCTGGAAATCAAGAGTAACAATTCTACTGAACGAGAACTCGATTCTGATGGAGATACGAATAATGAGTCAGAAGGTCAGTTAATATATGTTTATTTTGTACTTCCAAATAACATTAAATAAATTAAATATTAACAAAATAATTACTATTTAAAATCATATTAAACAAAATTTTTTTATTGAACCATAACTATCTTTTTTACAGAAAGTAAAGAAAAGTCTTCACTTTGGAAATATTGTACAGATTGCGTGCAAAATGCCAAACGAGGAAGAAAGGAGCTATCGGATAGTGGCTATGCAGATGAACTAACGCTTTATCTTCGATCTGAAGTTTCTCACTTCGAAACTGATCCTATACGCTTTTGGGTGGAAATGGAGCATATTTACCCTACATTATCTCAGATTGCGTTGAAATATCTGACAGTAGTTGCTACATCAGTACCTTCAGAAAGGTTGTTTTCGAAAACTGGCATTTTAATGAACGAAAAGAGAAACCGACTTGAAGGAAGTAAACTTCATAAGCAACTTTTTTGGGAGCAGTCGACGAAGCTCTTTGGTAAATTAAAGACCGTGTATTCTGCGTGAAGACCTTGCGTTTAAAGTAAATCCTTACCTTTATTTCCTTACATTTCATTTTTGTAACATATTGAAAATCTTACATTAAGAACCTTAAGATAATGTAAATTGTTTTCTGTTCTAGGATAATTAAAGCGTTTAATGGTTCTAATAAAATTCGCAAATCTCGAAAAAAGGTGGCTTCGGATCTAGTGCAGTCATTTGCAATTGACAGTACATATTTTGAGTAAGTATTAAAAATAATAGACATGAAAACATAAAAAATTTGCCTTAATCTGATAATAAAACAAATTTTTTCAGTTGAAGTTTTATGACCCGGAAGGATGATCGGCAAGCGAATATGATGAGTTATAAATAAATTTTGTAATTCTATTTTTGTAATTTAATATTTCTCTCTTAAGATTAAAATAAAAAATTTCACAATAATTATTGTACCATAAATATTGCTTTAATTATATGTATCACATATTTAATTACTTTTAATTTTAACTAAACCTTTATAAATAATAGTTTTGTAGAAAGTTTTAAAATTACATCGATTAATCGAATAATCGATATTGTTGGTACGATATATTGGTCATATCGATATTCACTATAAGCAATATCGATTTAATCGATATCGATATTTTTGTTTCGATATTGCATCACTAGTACCCCCTCGAATTTTTTTTATAAATAAAGTTACTTATATAATTAGTACATTTTTTAATATTTTAAAAACAAGAAATATATTTGATATTTTTATTTATTACAATTTTCTCATTATAATAAATAGAGTATAAAGTGTGACATAACAAAATAAAAGGTCCCCACCCCCCCTTTGTCACAAATAGTCACATTTTCATAGAGCCCTCCCCCCTAAAAAGTGTGACGTAATTTATGGACGAAGCCAAATAAAAAAAATAGACTAAACTGAAAAGAATAATTTAATATACACGGCAGTGTGCAGGGACCACTTTTCTTCTGCACATATATTTCCTCCTGTCCTTTTTTTCAAACTGCCATGTGCACTGAAAAAAACAAATTTAACACTCAACACACATAGCTATTTTTCAATTTGGTTTAAAGTCAATTTTTTAAAAGAAAATTACAAAATAATTGAGAAAACCAAAAAGTTAAAAAAAAAGAAAATATACTTTTAGAAAAGACATAAAATTATCAAGAAATGAGAAAATTTTATAATTTTTTGGTTCTGTATTAAAATATTTCTTTTACAAAATGTAGTATACAGCTTTTTTCGCTGAAAAAATATCAACCTGCGCACTACCAACAATTTTTTATAACGCGGGCTCCGATGCGATTAACCGGGGTGACCAAACTCTTTTTTATTTTTGTTTTCTATAAAAATGATTTAAATTCAGCAAAGTTTTTCCATATAATTGTAAGTTAATACGAATATTGTATTTTAATCATGTTTTTATGCATATTGTAGATAAAGAATAAAAATTGAATTATTATTTAAATAATATTTAAACAAATTAATAATTTGTTTATGAATTGTAATCTGAAATTATATAACATAAGGTTTAGTAAATTGCAAAATTAGGAATAAACTGCAACTTTCTAGGTGCATTCTGGAAAAAGTTGGTAAATATCAACAATAATTTGTTTAAAAATTGTTAAAATAATAATTCATTTTTTTATTCTTTATGTGTAATCATATAGAGTTTAGTAAATTGCAAAATTATTAAAAAATTGCAACTTTTTAGGTGCATTCTGTGAAAAGTTGGTAAGTAACGGGAATAATTTGTTTATGAAAATATATTGTATTTATTGATCTGAAACAACAATTTTACTGTAAAGCTTTGATGATTTTTTTTTGCAATGTACAAAATAAACACCCTAGCAATTTTTAGCAGTCTTGTACATACTTTTTTAATTGTTATAAATAAATAAGAAGAAATGAAAAAAAATTGTATTTTTTTTATTTTTTGAAAGTAGTGTTATTTCTATTTTTACTATATATTATTACTTATGTATTTATTTTCTATATATTGTATTAGATCTATATTTTATAAATGCATGTATCTTATATTTAAATATTGTATTTTATCATTATATTATATTAAGTATTTGTAATTCTTAGGTTTTAAGTTTGCATTATATTCAGTATATTTTCTAACAATATTGTAATTACATTATGTGTTTAATAAAAACGAATCCAGGAAAGAATAATATTTCAAAGTAATGTCAAAGAAATAACGATTAAGGAGAATCATATTAGTTACGCATGACTGCGGAGGATTCAAAACAAACATCGTGACCTCTAAAGAAGGAAATTTCCTATCGGCGTTGCGGAAGATTCAAACAAACGTTGTGACCTCTAAAGAAGGGAATTTTCTATCGGCGATGCGGAGAAGAAGAGAAAACAACACTTTCAATTTTTTTTCAATTTTTTGTCACCATGCACGTGAGAAACTCTTGATTCAAAAACAAAAAAACTTTCGAATAATTGAATAAACATTTTTTTCACACAGTGAATGCAAACAATTTTTAAAAAATCGTTCAAAAATGTAATTACTAAAAGAAAAATAATGATGTAAAAAATTACTAGAATTTGGAAAAATTTTAATTACTACTGAAAAAGAAAATCTAAATCCGGAAAGAACATTAATTTAAAAAAATTAAAATGTAGTTACATTTTAACAGTGAATTTTTAAAGTTGCTTGCAAAAAAGTTGAGAAAATATAGGTAAAAATTTGTAATTACTAAAACAGAATTATAAATTTTTCGGGAAAGAAAAATACTTACAGTGCTTATAGTCTCACTCTTTAACCGCAATCTCAAATCCCAAATTCCGTTTCACAAAAACACCCGTAAAATAAATTAATTATTCACATATATACATGGTAAAGAAAATAACTATACTAACGGAAATTGTTTCCCTAAAATGCGTTTCGAATTTAAAAAAAAACTGGCACTTTCCGATCAAACACTCCCGTCAAATTAAAAACACTATTGTTCACTTGAAGCAAAAATGTTTAAAATTGCAAAAAACATTAACTAAAATTATACTGCAACCACAATACACATAACCGCAATTAACACTCGTATAAAAAAACACTTTTAAAAAACGATACTTTCGTATATTATTCTTTTCAAGAGAATATTTAAAACGCGTTTACGCGACAATTTACAAGCGCGGCTAAAACAAGACTGAACCTGCGAACTCTCTCACTCATCGCTGGTCTATTGCCGAGTGAGTGGTATGGAAGGAGTGGGGATGAATTCATGTAATGACGTTGTCAGGAGAGGCGGACCCAAGGCGGGCCAATAACATTCCCAAGCGTCTCGCTCTCTGTCTCTCTCTCTCTCTCTCTCTCTTGAGCGATTCGAAAAATGGAAACACATAATGGCATATCACTGGAAAGTTCAACTTTTTAAAAAGAAACCATTTTTTTAGTTTGTTTCCAACACATTATTGAAAATCTCTCCGCGCATAAACTAATAATGGTAATATTAATAATACAGTGAGTTCTCGCGAGTCGTTCAACTCACGAGTCGTTCAAACTCGCCAGTCGTTCAACAGCTGATCAGTGTCCGATTCACGAGTCGTTCAATTTCTAGCATGCCCGCGCCGGTGCTCAGTGCTGTGTAATTTAAACGGACGAAAGTCATTGAATATTGTGTCTTTCGGGGCGATAAATATGTTTCACACATCCCTGAAATCGCCTTGGAGGCGTGGCTTATGCGTTGAACGACTCGTGAGTTTTATGATCTTGAAAAATTTCGAGAATTGAACGACTTGCGAGAACTCACTGTAATAGTAAAATAACTAATAATAAATAGTAATAACTAATAATAGTAATATTAATAGTAATTTTTATTACATTCTCATCACATGAGAAAGTATTAGTTTTGTTCGAAAATTGACTTTTGCTAATTTTATGAAATCTTCACGTTTTGGGGTCCCCTGAACCCAAAAAACATGGTTTGGCGATGGTGTCTGTCTGTATGTCTGTCTGTCTGTAGACACAAAATGTTGCTCCCATGATAACTTTTGAAAATCTTATCGGATCGTTTTTAAATTTAAATCACTTAAAGTTGGTGTAAAAATGAAGGCTAAGTTCGTTAGCCAGACATGTTCGTCAAAAATTACAAAAACTACAGTAATTTCAAAATTTTGAAAATTCAATTTTTACAAATTTCAAAATTTTTAACTTTATATTAATTTAGATTAGAAAAATACAAACAACTTTTCTCTACAACTTTTTTTGTCAAAAAGTCAAATTTCAGAGTTATAAGCTTTTAAATGGTCAAAAAAACTCAAAAATCTCAAAATAACGCAAAAAAACAACATTTTTTCAAAGAAATAAAAGTAAGTTCAACGATTTTCACATAATCTCACCCAAATACACGCAAGAAACATATTTATAGACATAAAACTGTCAATTTCCCGAAAAACCACTCTATATATCTATATTTTATTATTTTTTTGGCAAAAAATCGATTTTCCGACTCAATTATCTCTAAATCTATTACATATGGGTACTAGCTACCAGAGACTTTTTTTCTCGTCTCATCGTCAGCTACAACTTTGCTGTGGACACCATTTCGCCAAACTCTATACTTTTCGAGTTATTTTCAAAAAAAGTAATTTTTATTACATTCTCATCACATGAGAAAGTATTAGTTTTGTTCGAAAATTGACTTTTGCTAATTTTATGAAATCTTCACGTTTTGGGGTCCCCTGAACCCAAAAAACATGGTTTGGCGATGGTGTCTGTCTGTATGTCTGTCTGTCTGTCTGTAGACACAAAATGTTGTTCCCATGATAACTTTTGAAAATCTTATCGGATCGTTTTTAAATTTAAATCACTTAAAGTTGGTGTAAAAATGAAGGCTAAGTTCGTTAGCCAGACATTTTCGTCAAAAATTACAAAAACTACAGTAATTTCAAAATTTTGAAAATTCAATTTTTTCAAATTTCAAAATTTTTAACTTTATATTAATTTAGATTAGAAAAATACAAACAACTTTTCTCTACAACTTTTTTTGTCAAAAAGTCAAATTTCAGAGTTATAAGCTTTTAAATGGTCAAAAAAACTCAAAAATCTCAAAATAACGCAAAAAAACAACATTTTTTCAAAGAAATAAAAGTAAGTTCAACGATTTTCACATAATCTCACCCAAATACAAGCAAGAAACATATTTATAGACATAAAACTGTCAATTTCTCGAAAAACCACTCTATATATATATATTTTATTATTTTTTTGGCAAAAAATCGATTTTCCGACTCAATTATCTCTAAATCTATTACATATGCGTACTAGCTACCAGAGACTTTTTTTCTCGCCTCATCGTCAGCTACAACTTTGCTGTGGACACCATTTCGCCAAACTCTATACTTTTCGAGTTATTTTCAAAAAAAGTAATTTTTATTACATTCTCATCACATGAGAAAGTATTAGTTTTGTTCGAAAATTGACTTTTGCTAATTTTATGAAATCTTCACGTTTTGGGGTCCCCTGAACCCAAAAAACATGGTTTTGTCTATTTTTCTTTAAGGGTTGAAAGAATATTTTTTTTATTTTTTAAAAATTAAATATTTTTACCTCCTGCTATTTACAAAAAAGCAATTTTTTTATTCGTTGTGTCCGTTGAGAAAAATTGTGAGAATATTTAATTTTTAAAACTTATGTTTTATCATAATAACCTCTAAAGAAAAAAGGAGACTTTTAGCAAATAAAAAAATAACGCTTTGTGTCAACCTCTAAAGAGAAACAGAAGACTTCTGTTAAATAAGTGTATGATTTAAACTCCTCCTATTTACAGAATCCAATAAATTTTTTTATTTGTTGTGTACACTAGAAAAAAAAGGTGAAAATAATCAATTTTTAAATACGTTAAATTTAGTTTCAATCTTTAAAAAGAAAATAAAGATTTTTGTCCAAATGAAAATAA